CGTTTCTGCAAGCACAGGGTTGGCGCTAGGGTTACAAATTAACAGCAATTCAAGGCAGAATAATTTATCTTAGTACAGAACAAAATGGAGCTTTTTATATCTTCTTCTTTCTACATAGACACAGTAACAGTCGGATCTCTCTTCTTTCCCCTACATCACATCCCCTAGTTTCTGGGTCCAGCAATATGTCACAGGGCATGGTCCAGGCAAAAAAGTAACATTACCTAGGTGAAGAGATGTCACAATGTCCTCTGTGGGTAGGGCTAAGAGAGAAGAAAAATGTCACGTAACCTCGGTGGTGGTGCCAGCAATATGTCACAATCATCCCGAAAGTTCTGGACCAAGCGATATGTCACAATATTCTCTGTGTACAGTTTACATGAAGATAGTCACATAATCTAGGTGATGGGCTTAGAAATATGTCAAAATGACCCCTGTAGGCAGGGACCACACAGAATAATCACCTCACCTGTGTGCTAGATATAACGATAAGGCATCTTGGTTCTGTGGGCTTGACCATGTGCTAAGAAGAGAGTCACATAACCTAGGTTTTGGTCCCAAAGATATGTCACAATTTTTTCTACAGTCAAAGCCCAGGTAAGAGAGGAGAGTCACATGAAATAGTTGATGAAGTCAGAAATACGTACCAATGCCCTCTGAGAACAGGGTCCCGGCAGGAGACTCACATCACCTTGGTGCTGGCCCAGCAATATGTCACAATGTCTTCTGAAAGTAGGACAAAGCCAACAGGTTAGTGTCACCTCGGTGTTGGGCAAAGTAAAATGTCAACATCTCCCCTTCAGGCAGAACTTAGAAAGATGAGAAGGGTCACATCAGCTAGGTGCTGGACCCAGCAACAGGTAGCAATCTTCCCCTTTGAGCAGAGAGCACAAAGGAAAAGAGAGTCACATCACCTGGGTGATGGGTGCAGTGATACATCACTATGTTCCAAGTAGGCGGGGCTGAGGCTGAAGTGTTACATCACATGGGTGTTAAACTCAGCAGTATGTCACAGTGGCCCATGTGGGCAGAGAACAAACAGGAGAATGACATAAGCTAGGTTTGTGGCCCAGGAATATGTCACAGTGTCCCCTGCGGGCAGTACCAGAAAAGGAGAGACTTACATCACTTGGATGCAAGGCCCAGTGATATGTCACAATGGCCCCTATAGGCAGCACCAAGGAAGGAGTATGGAGACACATATCCTATGTGCTGGGTTCAGCAATATGTCATAATTGTAACTACAGACTGGGCCCAGGCAGGAGAGTCAAATTATCCATGTACTGAGCAGAGGCATATGTCACAATCACACCTGCAGAATGGTTTACAAATTAGATTAACAATTTCACACATGTCCCAGTTCTAAATCTGAGAGTCAACACCTCCTGTATGTTGGGTCTAAGTACAAGAGTCACAGTCTCAATGGTGCTACTTGATTTGTTTGTGAGAGCCTCAATTTCTCATGCAGACTGAATGCTTACTGGAGCCACAGACTCACATATGTGTTGAATAGAGGTCTGAGCGTCACCAACTCACCTTTGAACCAAATCCACACGAGTAAATTTTCCAACTTTTGACTGTTTTCATGAGGAAAACTTGGGACCTCAACAGTGGACTGTGTTCATATGGAAAGTTGACAATTTTTGCTGTTGGCTGGGTGTGCATGTGAGCCTCACAATCTTACCTGTGTGCTGGGCTCTGCTAAGACTCTCTCAGTACCAGTCAAGAGCTTTCTACACTTGAGAGTTGCAAACTGCTCTGTGACCTTCATGATGGTATGGACCCATGATTGTACCTGTGGTTCTAAGCCCAGGTATGACAGTCAACATCTCTATAATTGGCTGGTTCCAGATAAAAGAGTTCTCACCTGCTGTGGACCTAGGTTATAAATGAGTCACCATCTCAAGTGCAGCCAGATGTTCAACTATGACCATTACAATTTCAACTGTAGACTGCATCCACGTGTGAGATTCAAGACCTTACCAATAGGCTCTGTCCACGTGCCAGGTGACAATCCTAATAGATGATGCAGTGTGCATACAAGAAATGCAATGTCGGCCGGGCGCGGTGGCTCAAGCCTGTAATCCCAGCACTTTGGGAGGCCGAGACGGGCGGATCACGAGGTCGGGAGATCGAGACCATCCTGGTTAACACGGTGAAACCCCGTCTCTACTAAAAAATACAAAAAACTAGCCGGGCGAGGTGGCGGGCGCCTGTAGTCCCAGCTACTCGGGAGGCTGAGGCAGGAGAATGGCGTGAACCCGGGAGGCGGAGCTTGCAGTGAGCCAAGATCCGGCCACTGCACTCCAGACTGGGTGACAGCGCGAGACTCCGTCTCAAAAAAAAATAAAAAATAAAAAAATAAAAAAATAAAAAAAGAAATGCAATGTCACCTGTGTGCTGGGCCCTGTGATGATACTCTCTGTACCACCTGAAGGGTTTATATGATATATAAGAGAGTGGTAGTCCACTATGACCTTCATACAAGGAGGAGACCCAGAATCTTATGTATTTCCCTAACCCTAGTTTTGAAAGGCAGTATGTCCCCTATTTGTTGATTTGAGATATGACAGTTATCACCTCACCTATGAGCTGAACAAAAATATACTTTACAATCCCACCTGTGCATAGTGTGTGTGAGCAAGAGAGTCACATCATTTTGGTGCTAGGTCAGAGATATGTCACAATCTTTTCTCATGGCAGAAACTAGGAAGAAGAGTCACGTCACCTGGGTGCTTGGCCAGGGATATGTTACATTCCTGTTCTGAAAGGCGGGCACAGGGAGCAGAGTCACAGCACGTGGGTGATGTGCCCAGTGATATGTCACAACACTCACTCCCTGTGAACAGGACCCTGGAAAACACATCACCCTGTTGCTAGGCCAAATGTTATGTCACAATCTTTCCAGTGGGCAGGATGCAGGCAGCAGAGGAGAGTCACATCTCCCAGGTGATGAATACAGAGATATGTCATAAGGCTCTTGAGAATGATAGGGCTAACACCTTGTTTACAGGGCACAGACAGGTGTCTCCCATCTTCTACGTGTTTGGTCTAGTCATAAGTCGCAGTACTCAAAATACGTGGGACCTATGCAAAATACAAGAGTCTCATTACCTAGGTGCTAGGTCCGGGGATATGTCAGCATCCCACGTTTTGGCAGGGGCCTGGCAGAGAAGAACAACACATCACCGGCCGGGCGCGGTGGCTCAAGCCTGTAATCCCAGCACTTTGGGAGGCCGAGACGGGCGGATCACGAGGCCAGGAGATCGAGAGACGATCCCGGCTAACACGGTGAAACCCCGTCTCTACTAAAAAAAATACAAAAAAACTAGCCGGGCGAGGTGGCGGGCGCCTGTAGTCCCAGCTACTCGGGAGGCTGAGGCAGGAGAATGGCGTAAACCCGGGAGGCGGAGCTTGCAGTGAGCTGAGATCCGGCCACTGCACTCCAGCCTGGGCAACAGCGTGAGACTCCGTCTCAAAAAAAAAAAAAAAAAAAAAAAAAAAAAAAAAAAAGAAGAACACATCACCTAAACCATAAATGTAAAAATATATCATAGCCAGGCACAGTGGCTTATGCCCATAATTCCAGCACTTTGGGAGGCTAAGGTGGGCGGATCACTTGAGGCCAGGAGTTTAAGACCAGCCTGGCTTACATGGCAAACTCCATCTCTACTAAAAATACAAACAAATTCAGCTGAGCATGGTGGTACACGCCTGTAATCCCAGCTATTCCGGAGGCTGAGGCATGAGAATCACTTGAATCCAGGAGGCCCGATGATTAGGTTCTAGACCAAATAGTAAAATGTATTTGCCTTTAATCTATTTTCTCTATATTTAAACATTGCAAGTCAAGAGTATGTACAGGTATGAAGACTTAGAGTTTTCTTCTCCTCTGGTCCTATCATCCTTTGTTCCCTTTCTGATCTCTGGAAGGAAGGTAGGCCAAAGGTGGCCAGGAGTTATCTACCTGTGGTTATTTTATTCCTGCTGCCCCCTGCTCTTTCTAAGGCCACTATCTTTTCCCTCCTCGAAACTGAAGAGAGATGTTGTTAGAAGAGGCCCTTCCTTCACACTGGCAGAATAAATTTGTTCAGGCCCTTCACCTGCATAACATCAGAGGTGCACTTCATGTGTGGCTCCTGAGTGCCTGGAATGTAACTGGGTCTACACTGTGATGTGCTGGAAAGGCAAAAAACAGACTTAGTAGCCCATGTGCGGTGGCTCACGCCTGTAATCTCAGCACTTTGGGAGGCCGAAGCGCGTGGATCACCTGAGGTGGGGAGTTCCAGACCAGCCTAACCAACATGGAGAAACCCCGTCTCTACTAAAAATACAAAAATTAGCAGGGCAGGGTGGCACATGCCTGTAATCCCAGCTACTCAGGAGGCTGAGGCAGGAGAATCGCTTGAGCCCGGGAGGCAGAGGTTGCCGTGAACTGAGATCGTGCCACTGCACCCCAGCCTGGGCAACAAGAGCGAAACTTCGTCTCAAAACAAACAAACAAAAAACCCAGATTTACTTCCAAAGATATAGTTCCAAATATATACACGCTACATTAATAATTCACATTGCTCATATAGTAATATTTTGGATATATTGGGTTACTGAAATTGTTACAATCACTTTGACCTGTTTCTTCTTTCTTTTTAAAGTTTGGCTACTAGAAAATTTAAAATTCACCTTTGGCTCACATTCTATTTCAGAAGATTGCCTTTTTTTTTTTTTTTTTTTTGGACGGAGTTTACTTTCGCTTTTGTTGCCCTGGCTGGAATTCAAAGCGATCTCAGCTCACTGCAACCTCCGCCTCCCAGGTTCAAGGGATTCTCCTGCTTCAGCCTCCCGGGTAGCTGGGACTACAGGCGTGAGCCACCGCTCCCACCCATATAATGTATTATGTATAAACGCATATGACCTTACACACAAGGTTAAATGCAAATACCTCCGAGTTCGGCCTGACTCAGCTCAGGCAGGAAGTCCTGCCTGAAAAGGCTGCAGCTTGGAAGCTGTTACTCTTTCTTCATTCCGGCCAGCATGTGATCACATCTCCTGTCACTCAAGGCCTGAAAGGGCGGGGCCTTCAACATTATCCAATCAGGGACGCTGGGCGGAAACCGTCCAATCAGACACGCAGCTGCAGCGGACGGGGCGGCTTTCGGGTTTGGCGGGTACTTTGTCTCTAGCTGCAGACGGAGCTGCACGTCTTGTCTTCCCTAATCTATGTCCTCTGCTCCTAGAGGCCCAGCCTCTGTGGCCCTGTGACCTGCAGGTATTGGGAGATCCCCAGCTAAGACGCCAGGTCCTCCCTGGAAGCCTAGAAATGGTGAGAATGCTGGGTCGGACATCCGGGGAGAGGGGAAGGGGCTGGTTGGAACCTGTGGGAAGTGGCAGTGGCGGGAATCAGGCCTCCCCGCAGTCAGCTCCATAATCTGCGCCGGAGTTTTCCTAGGCCAGCTCGCCCTCAGTCCCCTTCAGCCACAAGATGGCGGCTGCGCTGACAGCCAAGACCCCGGGCGTCCTCTCTCTTCCCTGCGCAGTGACTGTGCCCTGGTCTGGAGCCCTCTCTTGGCAGCTCTGCACCCGCAGCGCAGCGTCTCTCCCAAATCGTTCAGGGACCACGGGAGGGTAGTCTGAGGAGAATCCTGATTTGGGGTGCGGGGTTCATGAATGGGAAGAGCTTTGGTCTGTGGGGTTCTGAGTTCCTCTTTTATTAAAAATGAACAGAAGTCACTGCAAAAATATTAAGTAATTTAAAGAGTGATTCAAAAATTGTAGGCCGGGTGCGGGGACTCACGCCTGTAATCCCAGGCCAGTATGGTGAAACCCTGTATCTACTAAAAATACAAAAATTAGTCGGGCATGGTGTCACGTGCCTGTAATCCCAGCTACTAGGGAGGCTGAGACTGGAGAATCGCTTGAACCAGGAAGTCAGAAGTTGCAGTGAGCCGAGATGGCGCCACTGAACTATACAGCCTGGCGACAGAGCGAGACTCCGTCTCAAAAAAAAAAAAAAAAAAAAAAAGTAGGGTACCCAGCTATGGTTTGTCGTTTGTCGTCCATAGCAAGGGCTTGAAGAAAAGACTTTTAAACTAAACTCAATAATTGGCTAAGTACAGTTACATAGTTTCTTAATTTGTACGATCAAGGCGGACATTTCCTTGTTGTGTAATCAGAGGTTAATTATAGTTAGCTAAGCCTCAACTGTTTCCCCCAGTTTAGTAATTTATAAAAACATGCATTTGAGGCCGGGCGCTGTGGCTCACGCCTGGAATACCAACACTTTGGAAGGCCCAGGCGGGCGGATCACCTGAGGTCGGGAGTTCAAGACCAGCCTTACCAACACGGAGAAACCCCGTTTCTACTAAAAATACAAAGTTAGCCGGGCGTGATGGTGCATGCCTGTAATCCCAGCTACCTGGGAGGCTGAGGCAGAAGAATCGCGTGAACCTAGGAGGCATAGGTTACGGTGGGCCAAGATTGCACCATTGCACTCCAGCCTGGGCAAGAGTGAAACTCCATCTCAAAAAACAAAAACCACACATTTGAGTTAAATTTCTTTAAAGTAGAAATCCAGGGACCATAGCCACCTCAGTCTAGTTGCCTGCCATTTGATTATTTTCACACTCCACAGGAGGCTAATTTTCTGATTTTTTTTTTCGTTTTTCCTTTTTTGAGAAGGAGTTTCACTGTCACCCAGGGTGGAGTACAGGGGTGAGATTTCTGCTCATTGCAACCTCTGCCTCACAGATTCAAGAGATTCTCCTGTCTCAGCCTCCTGAATAGCTGGGATTACAGGCACCTGCCACCACGCCTGGCTAATTATTATACTTTTAGGAGAGACGAGGTTTCACGTGGGCTAGGCTGGTCTGGAGCTCCAGACCTCAGGTGATCCTCCCGCTTTGGCCTCCCAAAGTGCTGGGATTACAGGCGAGAGCCACCACTCATGGCGCGGGAGTCCCCAATTTTTAAACGGTAGCTCAGGAGCGTAGATGGGTTCATTGGATTTGTTACTGACATCTGCAGTAAGGAGAATACTGTGCGACTGAGTCCTGAATCAGGGTCTGTGCTGAATGGGTGGTGTCAGAATGCAAATTTTAGACAATGAGTTGATGTTGGAGAATCTTGGTGTTCAGCAAACTCTACAGATTTGGTGCCAGAAGAAAGATACCACAGAGGCCTGGCCTGGAATGAAACTCTGGGAGGCTCTGCTTTTCTGTCACAGTGCCCATTGTTTTGTGATTCTAGGTCTCCTCCCAGGTTGAGAGAGGACTGAAAATTTAAAGAAGCTATGATAGCAGATTCCCTTTTTTCACAGCTGCCAGCACAGGATTTCTACTCACTCACAAACACACCCACTAGACACTGAGGTGTCTACACCACTCCCAGGGCTAGACACCACCCTCAGGAATTTCACCACAGCATTTTTGATCCTAATGTTTCTTGCCAAAAGCCCACAAGTGTCTACAAGTCTCCCCATATCCCCTCCCCAGACACTGAATCTGCAGCAGCAACCTGTTTTCTCCACCCACCTAGGGTTCTGGACCACCTGTTCATAATCTCATCTGCCTGCATGAATACAGAAATAAATTAGAATAGAGTCACACCTGGGCCACTATCTGTAGCACAAACCAGTCCTGTCGCCTACATTGCACTCTCCCAAACTCATGGATTTTTTCCCTTTTAACTTTTATTTTTTGTTCCTGAGTACACATGTAGGTTTGTTATATAGGTAAAATTGTGTCATGGGGGTTTGGTGTGCAGATTGTATTGTCACTGAGATACTAAACATTGTACCAAATAGGTGTTTTTTCTGACATTTTTTGTCCTCCCATCATCCACTGTGAACTACCCCTCAGTGTCTGTTCTCTTTGTGTCTATGTGTTCTTATTGTTTAGTTCTTATAAATGGTAACATATATTTATTTATTATTGTTTTTTGAGATAGAGTCTTGCTGTGTCACCCACGCTGGAGTGTGGTGACAAAATCCTGGCTCACTGCAACCTCCACCTTCCTGGTTAAAGTGATTCTCCTGCCTCAGCCTCCCAAGTAGCTGGAATTACAGGTGCCTGCCACCACACCTAGCTAATTTTTGTATTTTTTTAGAGAGAGGGTTTCACCATGTTGGCCACGCTGGTCTCGAACTCCTGATCTCATGTGATCCACCCACCTCGGCCTCCCAAAGTGCTGGCTTTGCTGTCTCTGCATTAGTTTTCTAAGAATAATGGTCTCTAGCTTCATCCATGTTGCTACAAAGGACATGATTTTGTTTCTTTTTGTTTTTTTTTGAGACTGAGTCTTGCTCTGTAGCCCAGCCTGGAGTGCAGTGGCATGATCTCAGCTCGCTGCAGCCTCCACTTCCCGGGGTCACGCCATTCTCCTGTCTCAGCCTCCCGAGTAGCTGGGACTACAGGTGCCCACCAACTGGGACTACCACATTTTTAGTAGAGACGGGGTTTCACCATGTTAGCCAGGATGGTCTCGATCTCCTGACCTTGTGATCCGCCCACCTCGGTCTCCCAAAGTGCTGAGATTACAGGCGTGAGCCATGGCGCCTGGCCTTTTGGTTTTTTTTGTTTTTGTTTTGTTTTTATGCCCACACAGTATTCCATGATGCTTATGTACCATAATTTGTTTTTATTAATCTTTTATTTTATTCTTATTTGAAGTAAAGATCTTACTCTTTCACCCAGGCTGAAGTGGAGTGGTGTGATCTAGGCTCAATGCAGTCTCAATCTCCTGAGCTCAAGCAGTCCTCCTACCTCAGCCCTCCAAGTAGCTGGGACTACAGTCACATGCCACCACACCCACTAATTTTTTATTTTTCTATTTTTTGCAGACATGAGGTTTTGCCATGTTGCTTAGGCTGCTCTCAAACTCCTGAGCTCTGGCAGTCTACCTGCTTTGGTGTCCCAAAGTGTTGGATTACAGGCATGAGCCGCCATACCTGCCCATACCATATTTTCTTTATCCAGTCTATCATTGATAGGCATTTAGGTTGATTCCATGTCTTGGCTATTGTGAATAGTGCTGCAGTGAACATGCACGTGCATGTGTTTTTATGATGGAATAATTTATATTTCTTTGGGTATATACCCAATTACGAGGTTGCTGGGTCAAATGGTAATTCTGTTTTTTACTTAGATGAGGCATCACTTCATTGCTTTTTATAATGGTTGAACTAATTCACACTCCCACCAGCAGTATATAAGCATTCCCTTTACAACCTTGCCAGCATCTGTGATATTTTTCACTTTTTAGTAATAGCCATTCAGAGTTGTGTGAGATGATGCCTCATTGTGGTTTTTCTTTGCGTTCCTCTAATGATTAGTGATGAGCATTTTTCATATGCTTGTTAACCACATGTATGTCTTTTTTTGAAAAGTATCTGTTGATGTCTTTTGCCTGATTCCCGCCTCCCCCCCACCCAATGGAGTCTTCCTCTGTCACCCAGGCTGGAGTGTGGTGGCGCTATCTCACTACAATCTCTGCCTCCCGGGCTCAAGCAATTCTGCCTCAGCCTCCTGAGTAGCTGGGATTACAGGTGCCCACCACCACGGCCAGCTAATTTTTGGGTGTTTTTTTTTTTTTTTTTTTTTTTTTTTTGAGATGGAGTCTTGCTGTGTCTCCCAGACTGGAGTGCAGTGGCGCGATCTCAGCTCACTGCAAGCTCCACCTCCCGGGTTCACACCATTCTCCTGCCTCGGCCTCCCGAGTAGCTGGGACTACAGGCGCCCACCACCATGCCTGGCTAGTTTTTTGTATTTTTAGTAGAGACACGGTTTCACCCTGTTAGGATGGTCTTGATCTCCTGACCTCGTGATCCACCTACCTCGGCCTCCCAAAGTGCTGGGATTACAGGTGTGAGCCGCCATGCCTGGCCTAATTTTTGTATTTTTAGTATAGTAGAGACGGAGTTTCACCATACTGGCCAGGCTGGTCTCAAACTCCTGACCTCAGGCGATCTGCCCGCCTTGGCCTCCCAAAGTGCAGGGATTATAGGCATGAACTATGGTGCCTGGCCTAATCAATCTTGATTTTTATATATAGTGTAAGAGAGGGGTCCAGTTTCAATCTTCTACATAGTGCTAGCTAGTTATTCCAGCAAAATTTATTAAATAGGGATTTTTTCTCAAATTCCTCTTGTCAGCTTTGTCAAAGATCAGATGGTTGTAGGTGTGCAGAATAATTGTGGGGTGCTTTAATCTGTTGTTTTGGTCACTGAGCCTGTTTTTGTACCAGTACCATGCTGCTTTTGTTACTGTAACCCTGTAGTATAGTTTGAAGTTTGGTAATGTAAGCCCTCCGGCTCTGTTTCTTTTGCTT